TAATTATTTGGACAAAATATAGGAAATTTTTTGAATGCATTTTCAACCCCGCCGTGGGCAACAACAAAAAAAAAAAGCCGGATCAGTCCTGTCCTAATGCGATATCTGTTTTGACTTGCAAAAAATTGACAGTGAAACAGGACAATTCTGTCGGAGACAAGAATGTCGTAGTGCGGTACTAGCCCAAGGTTAGGGCTTTGTATCCCGTTCGATTTCCTCGTTGTACCCATGGGTAACTCACTGTACTTGGTATGTGTTTCCAAGTTGCCAATTATATTATAATACATGTATAGGTTGATTCTCTCTTCCGCTGTCGTGGTTGTACACTCCAGAATTTCAAAAGTGTGGAATCAAGTGCGCACGGTTGGTGAACGGAAGCCTTACTAGTTTTCAATGGCGTTTTAGAAGACGGACTTTCCCAAGATTAGATCTAAACGAAACTAATAAAAAACTGAAATTAAACGACGGTGACTTCTTCAGGCTCCTCAATAAAACTGTGCACCCTTTAAATGATTCTGAACCACCATCAATTTGGTCTTTACATAGATACTGTAATTACGTGTATTTTGTATCAATGATGTAAAAGAAACATTTCCATCAGTTTTTTTCTGTTCTTGGGCTAACAATTTAATCTTAATGCTCAAAATATATTTTAGATGGATGTAGGTATGTCTGAAAACAATAAATTGCGTTATATATTTTAACAGACTGCATCCGAACACACAAGTCCTTGTAGAAGCATTTTGGACACAAAATGCACTTACGGAAGACAAAGACGTTTTTACCCCTTACTGAAGCCCATAAATGTTGACCCTCATGTCACCAGAACAGAAAACGGCTCTATGGGCGTGGTATTTACTATTCTTATTATTAGACAGAGCCAAACATTAAAATTAGGCAGTGTTACCACATAAAACACTAGTCAACAAAAGTTCAGGAACGTACTGTAAAAACAGTGATAAATTTGTATGCATTCTTTCGAGGTTTTACTTTTACTCATAAAACTAGATATTGGTGAAATGTTACTCTCTGACTAATGGGAGTGTACACACCATGGTTTGAAATGCACGTGACTCCTGTGCGCTGAGCTGGGGAGGGGGCAAAAAGGCCCAATGTTTTCAAATTGTCGAATTTTAGTCTCTCGCTCTAGCAGTCAGGAAAAATGATGAACGCACAAAAATCAGTTTTCACGTGCAAGATTCATGTCTCGTAAGTGAGTTGCACTCACTATTTGCACTGTGGATACACCATTCTGCTTCTGTAGGGCTAAGCGTAAACATGCCTCCTCCACAGAAATTGTCTGATGTAAACAGAGGACGAGCCATTGATTGGGTACAAGATAGTGTTTCACTCCGACAAGTTGTTACACGTCTTCGAGAGTCCGTTTCTGTCATTTCACAGCTGATTCAACGTGTCAACGCCACTGGTAGTGCCCAAGAGCGACCCAGATCAGGTCGACCTAGAGCCACTAATGCAAGGGAAGACAGATTCATTCATAGACAGGCTCTGCAGTCCAGATCAGCTCCCGCAAATCGCATCCGGACACAGCTGAGAGCGGCAACTCGTGATAACATTAGCTGTCAGACCGTACGAAGACGTCTTCATGAGTTTGGAATTAATGCACGTCGACCAGCAGTCCGTCAGCGTCTCACCCCAGCACACAAGGCTCCTCGTCTTGCCTTTTGCCGACACCATGTAAGATGAACACGTCAACAGTGGACAAACGTTCTCTTCAGCGACGAGTCCCGGTTCTCTTTGCATCACAATGACGGTCGTATCAGGGTTTGGAGGTGACCCGGAGAGCGGCTTCTCGATGCAGCCATCAGGGAAGTGGTGCCTTTTGGGGTGGTTCCATGATGGTATGGGGTGCATTCAGTCTGAACCACAGAAAACCTCTGTACCTTGTGCAAGGGAATCTCACTGCAATACCTTACCGAGATGAGATACTCCGTCCTTTAGCACTACCTACTCTGCAGCAGATGGGGCCACACCCGGTGTACTAGGATGCCAACGCCCGACCTCATAGAGCGTTGCTTGTCCAAAACTTCATGCAGCAGGCTGGCATCAACCGAATGGACTGGCCGGCCTGCAGTCCGGACTTGAATCCCATAGAAAACCTCTGGGATGAGCTGCAACGTCGAGTCAGAGACAACTACCCCCCTCCAGGAGACGCGCAGCAACTGTTTCAGATGCTGCAGGCAGAGTGGCAGGCGATGCCTCAAAGAGTGTTCACCAACCTCATGAACTTGATGAGGAGCCGATGTACTGAGTGCCAGGACAATCGTGGTGGGCATACTCATTATTGAAATCATCGGAATTGTTTTGTTTTTGTTGTAGTCAGAAGTTAACATAACTTTGAAACCACTTGACAATTTTGTGATTTGGGATTTTAACCCCTACCAAACTCAATAAACTTTTCAAGCAAGTTAAAAGGGAATAACTTAATTTTATTTTTTATTATTTGTTATACACATGTTTATTAAAATGTGTACCAGATTTCATTTCGTGTTGAAGTTTGCTTTCGAAGTTATACACTTTTTCCCAAATGTTCCTTAACTTTTGTTGACTAGTTAGTTTTAGGAATGATGAATGCAGTATTCAAAACAGAAAAATGTGTCCGACAAATTCTGTTTATTGACGAAAAATTCAAGTTTAATAGCATATCAAGGGTGATCTGGTAAAACGTATTCTTCTTATTTGTTAGCATGTCATTAGTTCACATTTCGGGTAACATTTGGTTTAGTCATGGTAAATGAGATACATCTTCACGTAGGATAGTCAAACAAAAATAACATTGCTATTTGTTTGTTTAATTAAGGGCTGGTGGGGCACCAAGAAATCGTGCTGTGGGGACAAATTATGCAAATTGGTGTTATTACATATCATAGTACCTGGACATTCGCTGAACAATATCCAGAAACGTATGTAAGCCTTGCTACATCTTAAAGCTGAGATTTTTTTTCAGGTTTTTCTGCGAAAGCACATGTTTTCCAACCTTTTCTTACCTTTATCGGCTGTATTCTCACAATTCTATTTCTTGTTCAACTTCAAAGTAACTTTCACAGGATACCAACAACACCAAGTTGTTCTAAATTTTGACTTGTTGAATTTTTTTTATTAATTAAAGAAGTAGTTTTTGATTTATGGGTTTAAAAAGCATGAATTTTCCATTTTTTTCACTTTTTTTGAAACAACCCAATTCTAAGTGTCATAAAATCAAAACTAAAGCATATATAATAAATTCAACAACCAATTTATGAGCTACATATATACTGTTGGCATGCCAAATTAGAAATGAATCAATTAATAAATAAGGGAATAAAATGGGAATGAAAAATACAAAATCCAATATGGCCGTCGTTTCCCTCGCAACCGATTCACAATAATATGCTTTTTGAACTATGGATTTCAAATCTCCAATAGCACACAATGTCCCACAGCAAATATGAGCACTCTAGGCCTTGTAATAGCCAAAATAAACTTCACGTGCCCCCCCCCCCCCTCTTAGCCCTTAAGCCCCCCCCCCCCTAAATTGTGATTATCTCGAAACCTTGATTTTGAGAAAAATTAAATGCATTTTATCAGATCACAGCAGACATAATCTTGTACCTGCACATTCTTCTGACCAATCCAGCAACCACAGAAGTATGATTTTATCTGAGTATTCACATTTGTAGGAGTACTGGTGAAACATGGGTATCGTCAGGAAAAGTAAATCTTGACAATATTCATTTAACGTTTATAGACTGGCTGAAATATATATTTCTGAAGGTTGATTTTTTTCCTTCTGATTTCACATTCATCTAACACAAATGAAAAACAACAGTCCATTAGAAACAACGCAATTAGTTTGCAAGGTTTTTAATATTGATGTGATCATGATTTTAGTTTCCTTATCACCCCCGTTTTTCACCACAACTCATCTCTTATTAAGCAAATTGCTTGTTCCCATTCGAAATGAAAGAATAGACAAAACAGCACCATTCCAAAGCGTGACATTTCACCTTTCATTAGAAAGCTATTAATTAATAGGAACAAAAGCTCTCTCGCAGATTTCTCTGTCCTCATTCGGGAGGTAGAACCCCAAAGACAAGCCCCCGTCCACTTTGATGCATTGTCCAGTCACAAAGCTGGCTTCCTCGCTAGCCAGGTATCTGACAACGTCCGCCTGTTCCTCCACTGTGCTGAGTCTATGGTTTAGTGGATGTCTGTGAGCCATGACACGTTCAGTGGCCGTCATGATTGAGTTGGCTTTGTCACCCATTTCTCGGAGCACTCTTGTCTTCACGAACGAAGGACTAATGGCGTTTACCCTGATACCTGCAGATATTCATATTGTTTTCTTATCAATGTAACATTCTTTATGACAGACATTCATTATTTTCTGAAAAAAAGTACGATTCTCAAAATTATCATTCATAGTATGTGTTATCGATGACAATAATAAATAGCATTTGCATTAGCCAAGTCCCGCTTAACAGCATGATCCATACTCTTTACAATTTACTTTATTACCCCTGCAGAACTGATAGCATTCTGAGACAAGCTCAACTTCTTAAAAAGCATACAGTGCAAGCTGCCATTTAACAGGGGCAAACAGTAACATACTGACAAGATCTTGCAGTGCCTATGGCTGGTTTCCCCTTCGTACTTGTGTGATGTAAGGAACATTCATATAAAGTGCTTTTCCCAAGCACACCTCGTCGGGCCTGAGCCTGGACTTCCGAACCTGCACCTTACGATAACGAGTCTGTAAGCCTAGCCACTAGATTAGTTATTAAACAAATTAATCGATCAAACCGTCTATGGAAGAACATTGCACAAAGCAACAACGTCCTGAGACTTTAAGTTTCAGTGTATAGTCTAAAGCTGGAAACCACTAAGGGCTGAGAGAACGAACATTTTCCTGCATGTGTTATTTGTTTATTGTTCAGTCTTCTTCTTTTTGAATGCATGTGTATTTTGAAATTTTAGTTGAAACCAAATCAGAGCATTGACAATCTTACCTTTATTTCCAAGAAAATGAGCGAAAATTCTGACTAAATTTTCAAGTCCAGCCTTTGCAATGCAATAGATGGGGTCTCCATGAAGGACTAGTGAGCTCCCAAGTGAAGACACACACACAATATTCCCTTTGGATTTCTCCAAGTGAGGCCAAGCGTGCTGGATCAGGAAAAAACAGACTTTAAATTGATGTCAATCGCCTCATTGAAGTCATCTGACGTTATATTAAACTCAGTTCTAGCCACATCACCAGCCCCAGCGTTTGGCACTACAATGTCCAACCTTCCAAACGTTTTGATGGTCTCGGACAATATCTTCTTAAGATAGTCATCGTCACACACGTCTCCACTAACGGCAACAAAACGCTCTGGGTGACCTTTACTGGCCTGTGCACACTTTCCCAATGCCAGTTCCAAACGAGCCACATCCCTGCCACAAAGAGTAATTTTTGCCCCTTCCTCTGCCAATTTAATGACTATTGCCTCGCCAATGCCAGAGCTCGCTCCGGTAACAACAGCCACTTTACCTTCAAACCTTGGCGCCATCTGGGGAATAAAGAGGTCAGAATTTAGAAGTAACTAAAATATAAAGCTTATTTCAAAGTTATGAACAAGAATACTTCTATTGCTATTCCTTAGAAACAACACTGAAAGAATTAAATGTAAAGTCCCAATAGTTATCAAGATACTCAAATCAACATCAGTACTCGCGCTATAATAAACATTTATGGACTCGTAGGGCTCATTGTACTATGCAATTTTAAGTTAGTGAAATCGGCTATTTTGGGCAAAGCTATAATATCTGGCTTAAAAAAAGACCTGTAGAATTTCACAACTGTTAGAAAGCAACAACAACAACAACAACAACAACAACAGCAACTACAACAACAGCATCAACAACAAAAATATAAACTTTGTCGTACTTCATAGCAGATTGTATTTCTTTTTTCAGTATTAGTGGTCCAATTATCTACTTCTTTATCACTATTAGTCGTAGGTTTTCATTTTTTTGTTTCCTGAAAAAAAATAGATGACAAACTTAGCAAAAAAATTTGAAATTTAACGTTGTATTGTCGATGATTTGATTCCGCTTTCTGTTCAAAGCCTGAAGCTTTTAGATCCAAAATAGCGTACAGTACTTCTACATTTTGTAGTCTTCTAAGTCGACCTCTTCCTTAATGTGTCTCCTTGTTCGTTGACGGACTCTACTTTTTTAAAATAAAAAGCAAATAAGAAAATTCCATAACCTTATATTTTCACTAGTAAAAAAGGCCAGAATTCGAAGAAAATCTCAAGTTGGGCCTTTTCAATGATGTTGATGGCATTCTAATAAACAAACGAATGAGCGCGTTCACAGGGATGCACCTTTTTATGCAATGGAAGTTTGAACATTAAATTCAATTAGATTCTATTTATTATTCTGCTGTCAAACCTAAGCTGTAATGAAGAGCCAAAACTTTTAATATTTGCTAATTAGTGTATTGAATATTCATGCGATGGCCATTTATTCAATAGATACTTGACCAACCACCTTATTGTTCCATGCCCAAGCTGTCACGACAAGCCTACGCATTGAATAAGTGATTAATGTGTGTTAAGCCAGTTAACACCAGTTATCTGACGAAGAACTGTACTCATACTGTTGCAAAAAAAAAAAAGAAAGAAAGAAAGAAAAGAAAAAATGTAGGCCTATAATCTTTGCAGGCACCAGTAGTTTAGTAAATAAGGATTTTAATAAATATGTTCTCAGACCAGGTTTAACAGTGATCACAGTAGGCGTCTCTCTTAAATGCAGTCGCGAGGGGAGGGTGGGGGATTTTTTGTCGGGGGTGGGGTAGGGGAGTTCTATGCTGACGAAACAGCTTTTGAAAAAGAACTACTTCCAATTAAATACAATACAAAGCACAGTCTTAAGTTTTCTCCAATAACCGGAACGTAAATTCCGAGATGGTATATTATAATCCTGCTGTAAATTAGTAGAGAGATATTGTGGTTCCAGATCGTTTAAAGACTTATAGTACTTACTGCACTTTTGTGATAAATATGAGCATTGACATGGAACCAATGAAGTTGCGAAAACATTGGTGTTGTGTGTTCTCTAAAGAGGGTGACTCTTGCAGGCTGGGCCTGAAGTTTTTGCGGTTAATTCAGAGTTGAAACAGTCTATACGAGATAACCCAAATGATGGCACAAATGTCTTAAGAGATGTCTCGTTGAAAAAGGTACCATTTGTGCAATTTTTTGGATGTCTGAATTAATGTGCAGTCTTACATAGATTTTGTACTTGACGTCCCCAAGTGTTGGCTTTTGCTTTGAAAGTCCCTTTTTCATTCCAAACAACTAGATGATAAGTTCCTTAAATTGTATTAGATAAGATTTTGGTTATATATAATTAGTTCTGTATTATCGTTGTTTAACCTCAGTATGTTATATATCATCTAGCTCTTGACTTCGTCTACACATTTTGGCATACTTCGAGATGTTGAATGCATGCCGCCTGGCTCTAAGGATTTGCACAGCTAGATGCCGTCTGCGTACATGTGATGTGAACTATCGTGACTTCTTTTGATGGAACTAAGTGGCGTTGTGGGCAAGGCGTACCCTGTTATTCAATCTGTCCATATTTGACTTTTTCCCTTCACAAGAACTGACTGTGAACATCCAGAGAAGTATGACTTGAACCACCAAGAACAATACCAGAAATTCCAAATGTATTTTCCAACTTTGGTAATAGAATGAAGTGATGAATTGTGTCAAATTACTTCAGTAGATAGAAATTTCAAATATTTTTCATGATCATCTTTACCTTTCACAGCAGTTTAGTTCGACGTTCCAAGAGACTCACTCAGTTGTGTACATTCGTGTGGCAAAAAGTAATCTGTTAGTCCGGTAAGAGAAGACAGCAGTAATTGCTATAGGGTTCAGCCACCATGAAATCGATAGCGTTGCTTTCCATGATAATATTTAACTTTGAAGTGCTGATGAAGCCCAGTTGAAAGAATTGAGTAGCAGGTATTCTTTCTCATGAATTTTTTTTTCAGACTTTGGAATAACTGATTATCACATTGTTAAAGAAAAATCGTTGCTGTCCACCCCAATTCTGTACCAAAAGCTATTTGTTTTAGTTAGTTTAATATGGAGCTTTACGGCTTTTATTCACCCCCATAGATTCAATTATATCATTAAAAATTAGTAGGCAGCCTACGAACCTGCCTGTTAGGTCCAACTTGAGCTGAGAGGGATACAACATACCACAAGGGGAAAAAACCTGAGGTACTCGATACACATTCTCCATATTAGGGAATCGAACAAAGATCACCCGTTTGAGATTACAAAGTGCTTAACTTTTAAAAAATATGATATTGAAGTATCAAAATGAAATTGTTAGCACAAATCAGTTTTGGAAAAGAATAACATAAATAAAAGTAACCATAGAGACAGGGGCCAGTTCTCGTTCGTCACGTATTTGAAATTAAAACTAACGTTAATTTGGGGATCCTACATTATTATAATGGACACGAACGATACGCCTTTCTTGTTTGTCAATAGCCATGATATTAAAATGTTTGTTGATGCAATAACTTGTCTTCTGATCACGATGACTTTACATTGCACTGCTCTGCATCAGATGAGACTTTCCTCAGCTTCAGCACCCTTTTTCTAGAAAAAAACCCCCAAAACAAACATGGAGCCGCCTTCTTATAATAGCCGTCTTTGCCAATGAAAACGCGGGCGTCAAACAGAAACTACGAGAAGAAGAAAAATACTCACCAAAAAAAGGCGTTCACGAAGTGAGTCTCTTGAGAAGTTTTAATGACGTTTGAGGAGGAGAAGGATCCTGTTGAGGCCTGGTTCGGTCAGGGGAGGTGGGGGTGGGGTCACATTCCACACATAATTGATTTAGCATGCTTTTTGCGGCACTTGCAAAATTATTAGGTGGTGAAAGTTCCGAAGATGTATAGGTGTTACAACAGAGTAACAAACACAAACAGATGGAGTAGAGATAAGGACGATAGATGTTTGATAAGAAAGAAAGGTAAGTGTAGCGCCAAACTTAACACTAAGACTAATACGCACATTATTTCCAACATCAAGAAAGAAAGACCAAACCACACCCGAGTACCCGCCAACTATACCCACACCCTACACATAAAGAGAAGCCCTTGCATCGTTACAAGAAAGTATAATGGCTTTAAAAGTAACCCTAGACTCTGAAAGAATATTTCAAAACACTTGGAATTTGATTACATGATTACAGATGAAATGAGGGTCACACATATTACATTAATAATGTGAAAGGAAAAAACACCACTTCTACCCAATCACTCCAAACGGATTGACGTCCCCTTAGATGAATTTTTTCTTTTTCGAACTTTTTTACTTTTACTTTTTCATTCTCTGTTACCATTTAAGGGTGTGTGTGTGTGTGTCGATTCGGCTCAAAATTATGGAATTTGATTTGTAAGCATATTTAGCTTCCTCGGCCTCTCCTACAACTATTCCATTGCATAAGAACACATAAAAGCCTTATTTTCCCCATACCGGGCATGTTTGCCACCACCATTTCCTTATAAAGTCAATATTTTATTTTTCTTTATCCGCCGTTTTCTCAAAACACGATTTTTCTCTATACTTATTTGAATAACTACATCATTTTTAATCCAATCTTCGTGAAATTTACCAGAATGAAGAGAAGATATAATACTAAAATGTATCTGTTGAAAGTTTTTATATATGGAATATTTCTTGTTGGTGGTGTCCAGAGTGTGGAACTTTACGGATTTTTCGCAAATTTGAATACTGCCTCAGGAAAACATTCATCAAAAATTGTTCTAATTCGTTTAGGAAAAAAAGACCAACAGGAAATTTTTTAGATTTAATGATTGCTAACATGCATGGAAAAAAAAAGATTTCCATGAAAAATAAGTGCGGTATTCATTACGTAACACATGTCAACAAAATCCAATATACCCGCCGTATCCAAGGTAAAATTTGGTCCACTAATAAGCGAGATAGCCTTCAGATGTAACCCCCACCTTAAGCGTCGAGGGCAGATGCAGTTTTCTGTTAGGCCAGCTCCGCAGCCATTTCAGTTGTGGTATTATGTTTTCTCAGGGTTTACCTGACACCATCGATCCACCTTTTGCGTGGCCTTCCTCTTCCTTTATACCCTGAGTGCTTGATGTTGTACGCTCTTGAAACTGGCTGGCCAGGTGACATACGTAACAGGTGGTCAAACCATTTTATTCTCTGTCTTTCTATGTAATGCAGGCAAGACTCAATGCCGATAGCTGCTCTTTCTTCTTTATTTCTCTGCCTGTCTCGTCTTGTGATGTCGAAGGTTTTGCAGAGACATTTTATTTCGCAAGCTATGATTTTGCTTTCATGGGTTTTACTTAATTTCTAGGTATGACACTGGTAGCATTATGTTGGTATGAATATTGACGTGATAAGCTGTCTCTTTGTGTCCATGGAGATGTTTGGATGAGATAGGAGGGGTGTGAGCTGGTAGGGGACAGCGTTGGCTTTTTTGAGTTCGCATTTCTCTTTCTCTGTTTATGGACCCATTTTCAGAAAAAGTACTGCCAAGATATTTAAACTCCTTCACCTGTTTCAGTTGTTTCTTTTGCGAAATTTTGTTGAAACTGGAGAAAAGATGACGAAGATATTGTTCTTTAATTAAACTGGTCCTTTTCTAGACACCGTGTACCTCTCATTGTAACATTAAATTGGAACAGCAAATCTCAACTCCCTATACTTAATATA